CTATTTAACATGGCATAGTTATGCCAAAGCGTCCCGATATTCAGGGTTCCTGCCAGTAAGATAAGAACAGAAACGTCTGGACCCAAGAAATGGGCGTGTCGAAGCGAAGTGTCGAATTCAGGAGAAATCTACGAACAAAGGGCAGTTTTTCCTTGGGTTCCACATTGAGCAGTCTACTTAGTTTTAGAGTCTCGGGTTAATTTAATAATTGATCGCGTGTAAATAAATTAATTAATAATGTTATTCGAGCCCGTTGTGTAGTTATTTTGTTTGTTTGTTTTGTTTTTATTGTTATTAAATCCTTCCTGGAAAGAAACTAAACTATTTTGTAGTGTTTAAGTACCTTAATTTTCGGTAATTAGACAAGCGTTTGTTTATTACATATATTTTTTAAGTAATTTAATAGATTTGCTTTTTAAATAGTGAAATTTTAACATTATGATGGTATTTAACTTGCTGAAATGATTCTTCAATCGTTTAGGGTTTAGGGCTTTCTTTATAACGAGGTTAACATCTAGATTGAGATAACTGCGTAGTTTTTAAACCGTTCTTAAACATAATTATTATTTTTATACTAGAATCATTCACAGCGCATTTCAACTAGATTAACGAACAAAAGACTGATAAAATATGTTGACACAATTAAGATTCGCCTCATACTACGCGATGAATGCCTTTTTTTTAAGGACTCATTAAAGGCAGCTCCGTGTATTATTGGGAAACAAAGAGCATCCCCACGAACCGAAAGAGGTGATGCGATCCTGGCCAGAGGCACGTTCAAAATCAGGGCCTGAAAAATGAACTCATTTAAAATTGTTGTCAGCGGGATAGAGGATGAAGGAAGTCCTATAAATCGCATGATTTAGCCCGTCCTGTAATTAATTACACTGGATGAATTCCTACCAAGGGCGGATATTTGAAAAACCCCGCACCCCGGTTCTGCTTTGCTCAAAGAGATTTACAATCATTGTGTGGATTTAATATTCCACGGATCAGCAACTTTAACAATTGATATTTTGGTTAGTTTGGTTATAAAAGTTCTGACATACAGGGTGTCTCGGTATTCCGTACACATGCAGCTCATAGTTTCCCGAGATCAAGGTTGACGAAAAAAGTTATAAAATTTTATTGACCCTCGACAAAATTTGAGAAGATTAGTTCAATTACTTTATTTATTATGTCGGAGTGACAACTGTATGAAAGTATTAGAGTTAGTGGAGTCAAGATAGATTTTGGCTTCGCGAAAATTACAGGAAGAGAGAACTTTTTATTTTTCGCTTTGTAAAGTTGTCAGAAACAACATATAAAAAGTTACCAACTGTAGAGTGTACGCTAAATTATTTATTTAACAAATTAGTTGCAAAATTACAGTTTTTGCAAAATATATAAAAAAATATAATTTTCTAAAAAAAATTAACTGCGCCATTCGAAAGAACAGGAAATTTTACATAAAAAATGTTAATAAAGTTTTTTTCTAAAATGCGAATTGAAGGCTGTAGAATTTTTTTTCTATCGTACGAAAAATGAGACGGGCGGCCCCAAGTATAGCTCTCGATGAGCGCGCGGCCCCGAGCGCGCTACACTAAATTTGTTATAACTTTTGATCTAATTGATCAAATCGACCTCACAACAATTTAAATGAAAGAAGAGTCATCCGGCTATCAAAATTTTATGTCTTTAAACTTGAGAAAAGAAAATATATATATAGTACATACGTACCTACAAAGTTACGTCATTCTATAATTTTGTACAATAATAATGAAATAGCTGTCATTCTTTTAATTTTTAAAATAAATATTTGTAACTTTCTCTGATTACTCTTCAAATGACGATTGAAACAGTGAGCGATATGAAAAAATCTTAAAAATTTAATTTGAAAAATACTGAGCCCAACATATTCAATAATTTAAAAAAATCACAAATTTGACTTTTTAGGCCATACTTTATAAATCAAAAACTATATATGTTCCCTCATTATATATTTTAGAAATGTGTATTTATGTTTATAAAGTTTAAAACAAATAGTGATATTCATCACTTGGGCCCCATATTCTTTAAATAGTGTTTTCCGCAAAGACAAATAATTTCAAACATTTAATAACTGAATAATCTAAAGCTTATCAAATAATAGGAATGTTATGTCATGCCATCTGGTTATTTTCAAAGACGCCGCAGTAAAACGAACAAACAGGTGCAAAAAACGATCAAACCATCAAGGTTTTAGGTACTGAAATCTTCGAAAATACTAACTTTTTTATATATAATTCCACATGTAAATATTCTTATAACATTTACTTGCTTAGTCCTACATATAAAATTGTTTACTTTTATTTATAAGTACGTGAAAATAATTCTTAAAATGTGGGGTTAGAATAACAGCAAACGCATGTTTTACAAACGCTTTTTTTTAGTTATTATTTTATTTGAGTAAATTTAAATGGTAACAATGAATAAACAAAACATCAAGGATTTTATTTTTGTGCTTACTTTTGTTCTACACGTTTTACTTTCAAAGATTTCAGTACCTAAAAACGCCAGAAATTTCACTATTTCTCGGCCGGGAATATGGCCACCTTAAATACGAGACAAAAGGATCGATTCCATCTGCCCTACACAAAATATGCTGCTATATCGAAATCACCTGATCATATTGACTTAAGGATTTTTAATAACTTGCCCGGTAACATTAAGCATTGTAATAACTTGAATATCTTTAAATATACACTAAAAAATTTTTTAATAAAGAAATGTTTTTACTCTCCGAATTTTATCAATTGTAGTACAATTTACTTTGTTATGTTTGCATTTTATATGTGTGTGTATATGTATATAAGTGTCTATATTGTATATTGTATACTGTGTGTGTATATCTATATTTGTATTTTTGTATGGGCCACTGTTGTCCATCACATTGACCATTGCTATACATTCATGTAATGTCATATAAGCAAAATAAACTAAATAAATAAATAAATAAAATATAGTTGTAAATGTGATATTGAAACTTTATGAGAGCACTTTTTAAAGCTTAAAATCTCTACTTTAAGATGGTGCATTTTATTTTTCTTAAAAAATCTAAAAAATAGTTAAAAAACAAAAAATAACAAAAAATAAAAATATTTCATGAAAAATCCGTGAAATTTATTGTTAAAAAAAGTGTATCTAATAATGTACAAAAAAAAATTTTTTTTGTTTAAAAAAAACATCAAAGACTTAAGTTAAGACCTTAAAAAAAGTAAATCCACCGAAAAATATTTTTTTTATTTATAGTAATAAGTGGAAAATTGTTATAATAGCAAAAAAATAACATTTTCTGATAAATTAATTTAATATTCATTTTTAAAAAGTATATTCTGTATCTGAAATTGTGAATATAAGTTCGAAATCTGCTCGGTGAGTATAGCACGCACATGGTGTATACTACTACATAGAAATATATACAATAGCCTTGCTTGCGAAGGGAAATTTTGAAAGTTGTAAGTACACCAAATATTTTTTTGTTACTTAGTTTTATTTACTTTAAAAGCGTTTTTCGTTTATAAGAAAATGGTACAAGAATATGATTTTTATGTTTTCGAGTAAACTGCAGTTATAGTGTGTTAAAAAGTGTATTATTCACATATTTTGTCCATTTTGAGGTTATACTCTCGTGCACTTGTAATTCTTTAATGTAATACCTATTATTATGCTAAACCTGTAAATGTATGAGTTTAATATTAATATATGAATATTGATCCATTTTTAAAATAATTAATGAATAAATAAATAATAGGAGACGTTGATTTTGATTTTGTAATTTTGTATTTAAAATCAGTGTATTTTTTTCAATTTTATTGGCTTAAAGCTTTAATTGCCCAGTTATTTTTTAAGAAGAGCAAGAACTCGATGAAATTTAAAGATTAATTATTTTGTAATAAATTTGTTTTTTAAAAAATAAAACATATTTTCAATAAAACCTCTTTAGCCATTTATAATTTTCATTTTTCGAACCTCTATATTACAAATATGAGCGAGTTGATTTAGAATCGATAATTGTTTAAAATAAATTGTTTAAAATAGTCGGCCATATTGGATCAGCCATTTTGAATTTTCATTTTCCGGCATCATAATCTTGTTTAGCGACCTTGAAAACCCCTATATTACAAATGTAAGCGAGTTTGATTAAAAATCGATAATTGTTAAATGAATTGTTTAAAATAGTCGGCCATATTGGATCAGCCATTTTGAGTTTTCATTTTCCGACTTCATATTCTTGTTCAGCGACATCGAAAATCCCTATATTGTCAATTTGAAAGAATTCGATTTAAAATTCATTGAATTATTTTAAATGTTCTTAAAAAAATATTTATTATTGTTTAAACAATTAAAAAACAATGAGCGTACAAGAATAAGTTTATAACTTTTTTCTAATACTTATCTCCAAGTAATTTCAAAAGGTTTTAGGAAAATTCATGCTTCCCGTAATTATTTCGAAATAATGCGTAATTTTAAGCTATCTTGACTCCACTAAGTAGAATCTTACAAGACGTTTCAAAGTTATTTGGAAAAACATTTTTTTTTGTCAACATTGATGCCCTCTAGCGGCTATACGAAGCAACTTAGAATAGAGGTGATCTACTCATTTTGATCCCAGAAAACTGCGGTGGCTCCACGTACACGAAATATTGGGACACCCTGTATTGCTATTACTCACTTGCAATAGGTAGTGAATAAATATTATTATCGAACTCGTTTTAATTTTACTTTTTTTAATTTGTTCATTTCTACTACTTGTATTATTACATTAAACACTGTTCTTCAGTTTAGAAACAAAATCTTGATCTAAGAATTTTTTTATATGTGAGATTCTCCACAATTTAATAAAAAAAACTGAAATTTTAGACAAACATTCTATTTTAGCAAATATCATAAAATAAATTAAAAAATTATAACAATATACATTTTATAGAACCTATAATAATAAAACACGTTAATATTAAACTTTTATTATGTGAAAAGAAAGTTATGAAGACTGAGTTTAGAGTTAATTCATGTATACGAAAAAATTTTTAATGCTGAAAATATTATTTTACGCAAGTTTACGGCTTGAGAAAAAGTATATACATATAAACTAAAAATTATGACATTTGAAAAAATAAATTTTAAAGTTAATTATTAAATTTCACTCCTACATAAACAATAACACTTGATCAATAATTTACACATACAGTGAAATTTATGAATACCGTATTTTTTTGAGTGTTTATTTGAACAAAAGTTGGTTTTAAACACTTCATTTTCACTTTCATGTTCTTCGACATATTCGAACTTATCACTTAACAGTTTTTCGTTTAGAATTGCTAGGCGTAGCAATTCTATTTAAAAAAAGGGCACTGACTACCACACCACTGGTGGTCGTAGTGAATCGTCTGTACGATATTTTTAAAGGACTTTATCTCATTATGTCGTCATAAGACATAGCCAGCTTAGTTGCATTAGTATTTATACTGACTAGATATCACGAAAATAGTTTAAAAAAAAATTTATTCACACTGAAGTCCTCTATCAACAGTAAAAGTTAGTATGTTTAATAAAGGCACACCCTGCTTGTTTTTCACTATTTCCTCAAATAAATACGCATAATTGTAACGATTACATCATTAATTTTCTATGTACTCGTACAGTTCATCGTTTTTCGGCACTTTAACTACTTCATTGTTTAAGTTGTCTCCAGAATTGAAGTACAGATAACGGCTCGTCAAACTCTGAGATACGCAGTTCATGAGGTACAACTTGTTCTTGGCAATCCTTCGTCTAAGCTTCCTTAAGGAGAATAAATTTATGCACGTGTTGAAAACGTACCATAAAACACAGACTATCAGAAGGATTGTTAAATAAAACAACAAGGCTTTGATGTCGCTAATTTGTTTCTCTTGCGCGGACACAATTTTCTCCAAATCGTCGCCTGTGTGATCATATCCCACCGCTGTATCAAAGTCGGGTTCTAAAGTGTCCAACATTGTTTTGGAAACTATAAACCCATTTTTGCTTAACCAGATATTTTTACCACACAGTTCTTCGTTCGTTTGTAAAATTAACTCACCGTACTTCCTGGTCACAATGACAAGAGCGGTGTTGTCCTTTTTTTCATACCCTTCATCCAATTTTTGTGTATAACTGCATCTGTTTGTGCTGTTCAAAAATTTCGCAACGTGACTAAACTTATTGTTAGTGTTGTATACCTTACTAATTCTTAAGCCATATATGAGAGTCGCATTGCAGATCTGATTCTGATTAGGTATCATATTACACTTGCACTTGTATAAAAGGCGTCCATATTGTTGATCAGTCGTACAGGTTGGATCATGCTTGTGAACGTCGTAATAAACTGTGAACCCTAGCATGTTTTTATAAATGTACCAGGATTCTGGTCTGTTTGAATCTTGTTTAATGTTCCTTGTATCATTCAAAATATAATATTTTAGTGTGGAATTTATCAAGGGTTCAACAATTTCGCACGCATCAACACTTGAAAACTTTAAAGGTGAAGTAAAATTTTTGCAGGTAGTTTTCGATTCGTCTTTTACACTTTCTCGTTTTTTTTTTTTCTTCTCAATCTGGAAAGATTCAAGACAACTATCAGTGACCCACAGATCGAAATTTCCATTACTGAATTTTTCGTAGGTGTATCGGCAAGAGATATCGTGTACTGAAATTGTGATAGTGTTTTCCAGTGAGTCGATCTGTTCCGATGATTCACAAAACGTGACATTTACTTGTTCAATGTCCCTAACGTTACGCAAGTCCTTTTTAACTGTAGAGCACGAATTTAGGGCACTGTTCTTTAAAATTATATAATTTTCATCAACGTCTTTCACAAATTTGTTGTATTTCCCACAGCGGAAAACGCCTGGTTTGTTGTGAATGCAATAATAGGACGTAACATTGTATATGTAGTAATTTTGTTCCTCTATCTCTTCGCTGTTGTCACTAAGATAACTTGGCACCACCACCAGTAGCGGTAGAAAGACTGCTATTCCTTTCATTCCTAAAAAAGGTATTTACTATTTTAAAGACTCGATTTTCTCGTTTATTATCTGTTTTGAAGTGCTATCAGCAACTGTAGTACTTACAATGTTCAGTATTAAGTAAATCTAACCTCAATCTTAAATAAGAATCAAAAGAAACTTACTTTAGTTCTATATCATTCCTGTCAACACTTTACTTATGATTTTCACTTAGCAACTGAATGTAAGTCTCTTACTTGATCTAATTTTTGCATTATCTGCCGCAATATCCTGTGTTTAAGTGATAATGAAATTTACATTTTTTAATCACATATGCTTGTCGAAAATTAAACACTGTTTATTAAATCTGTATCTTTCTTTGTACGAAATGGGGAATATAGTACTGTCTACAAGTCATTTTTCACCGAGCACAGCCTTTGAAAAATCACTAAAAAATTTATGAAATACTTTTGTTCCCTAATCTTTTCCAGTAGTGTAAAATAAAATTGGATCTGTCTTATTAAAACAATGAACTTATTTAATGTGTATTGAACTGCATTTTCTGTTCAAGGCCGTTGTAAGTAACGAAATATGCGCAACATATGCATGGAATGTGTGAAGTTCAAGTTCTGCAAATTTCTATTAAAGAATTTTCTCGCTCTCATATTTCGCTTTTTCTGGATATTTTTCCACTGGATACCCTACCAGTATGTGACAAATAACTGTTCGGCTGCATAAAAATTCTATCCACGCGAGTCGCCTTAAAACTTTAAATAAAACTAAAAAATGTAGTCCTTGTCCTGTATCGATCCTGATATGAGATCGTCCGGCTTTGTCACTGCTATACGGAATGGGATTTTCATTCGAAGATTCGAAAAGTTTTAAGCCCATAAAAAACTTCATCATGTCATGCGTAAAATCGTGGACTGCTGTTTTAAAACAAAAAGTGAATTAAAAAATTGGTGAGAAGTAAAATATTATTAAAATTGTAATGTCGTTAATTTACTGAAAAAAATTTAGTTCCTTGGAATTTTTTGGTATAATATTAATCAACTGAATTAATTAATCAAATTTGGAATTAGCTTATTTCCTTTTATTTTTAGGGGATGAACACCACCTATTATGCTAAAAAACTGAATAAATATAAAAATATGTAGGTGTTATTATAGATTAAAATCATATCTTAATATATGGAATAAAAATATTGTATTATATTATGGGTTATGATTTATGCTATTTTTATAAAGTTTCAACCCTTAAAAGCCACCCTTACGGATGAAAATATAAAATTAATAGTTTCTTTGACCTTAAAAAGATAGAAATCTTTTCAATAGTTTATAGTATTATAAATAATTTATTACAACATTTCAACCCTTAAAAAACTACACCTAATAACAAAATATTTTTAAAAAATAGTTTTTAGCAGTTTGAAATGATTTGATACTACAAACAGGATAAATTAAATTCTTTTATCTGTTTATAATACAATTTATAATTTACCGGCACCCCCAATGACAAAATATAAAAAATGGCTTATAAATCATTTAAAATGAATTATAATTTTTTTCGTAATAACTCTCGCTTTTTACTTTAATTTATGCAATATTTAAATTAATTATTTCTCAATATTTTTTTCATGCAGAAAGTCATAATTTCAAATTTTCTAATTATTATTTTATTATGTATACATATGAATGCTTCAAAGTTGTGGATAACCAAAATATTGATATGCTCCGAAAATTGAAGCGGTAAGGTACCGTTGGTTTTTTAACAACGATAACTTCCTTAAGTTTAAAGCTATTAAGATGATCCAAAAACGATTTTACGGAAAATATCGACAGCTAAAGGTATGTAAAATTGAATATTTTTTTAAAGCCTTATTTTTGAGATTTTTTAAGTTAAAGGGTTTGAAAAACAAGACCTTCGCCCTCAACTGCAAACTTCTAGCAGCGACATCTCTATTAATTTTTATCCTACACAAATAAAAAAACAAAATATTCTGTGAAAAAAAAAAAAGAACTTTTGTACTTTTCAATAGTTTTTAAAGTTATTTTCAAAAGTATGTTATTTTTTGAGAATTAAAAAACTTTTTTCAATCAAATCGTCATATTTTCAAAAATATGCATTCTATACCGCTTAAATTTATATAATATATTGTTAGTACACAGAGAATGTAAATTGTAGAAAAATTACCTTTAATTTTAAATCTCGTTCATCAGTTTTTGTACTAATTTTTTTTCCGAAAAAGCGAATTAGCAGTTTTATTTTGTTCATAACTCTGTTAATTTTTATACTAATGGCTTAAAGTCAAGTTCATTTTAAAGATTTTTTAAAGTACTTTAAAAAATGTTCCCTGCATTTTTCTTGAAAAATAGATTTTTTTTAAATATTTTACGTTAAATGCTTCCTATTTAGTTTCTGGCGGACATGAAATAATCTTCAACCAGCCGTATCTCAGCACCTATTGAACAAACTCAATCTTTTTCTTTTTCTATAAGCTTCATTTTCTTCGTGATGTTTTTTTTTCATAGAATGTCTATTTTCCGAGTTATTGGAGATAACTACTGAAAAACGTCTTAATAAGGCTTTTTTCGAAAAACATAAAATAGTAATAATGTGTAGAAAATTGAAAGACGAATCCGAAAATATCATGATTGTTACCGTAAAGCAGTGGCGTACTATTTTATTTAGAAAAATATGCCACCGATACTCTGTATCTCCGCTACTGGAACGTTTAAATTTTATGAAAATCTCTCAGATTTTGGACAATGTTTACACAAATACATGTGCCCAATTTCAAATTATTTCAAATACTAGTTTTTAAATTATTTAAAAAAATTTAAAATATTTTTTAACACCCTATATCTTTTTAACGAAGCGTCCTAGATAAAAATTTAATAGGAAAGACTCCCCTTAAAATTCACCAAGAAATACGGAGTTTCATTTTTGGTCACCATTCGTGAATCGCCCTGTATAATTTCACTAAATCTTTTTTATTTAACATATAATAGAACTGCACCAATCAATTCTATTTTTGCTATGTACAAGCAATTGAAATTTATATGAATGTTTGTTTTTAATAAAACTCTTGCACGTAGTTAGTATTCTTGGTACTTTTCCTCAGTGCAGCATGGCGAACTCAAGGATCCAACGGAAGGATACTCTAGATGCATTGTTTACGGAGTTTAAAGCACCAGGCATCTGAAACAGATATACTTACGTCAGTCACGTTCGGCGAATTCAATATTTATCGCACGAACTTTTACAGTTGGCGCACGGCGATTTCCAAGAGCTTTAAACTATCGATTCTCAGTGTAAATTTGCAGGGGTAATGCCGGTCTAAACTTTATGTTTACGAGATCGAATGGAATGCCTTGACGAGCGTGAAAATTACAACGAGGCTGTAACTTTCATTACCCATGAAAAAGAGCCCGATCATTTAAGCCCATGATAGAACAAGGAAATGCCCTACTTTTCTTTAAGGCAATAGCTTCTGAAAATTGGTTCAGAAAGATAGTTTCGATGAAGTATGAAGTTGATTTAGAAATATCTAAAATAATAAATAGTTATGCGGGTAACCAGTAGAATGTAGAACAATGCTTTGCTTTGTCGTCTCAGGAGGCGAAAATTAGCTCAGAGCTTTATAGTGACAATGTGACTGTCCTATAACTGAAGATCATGTAGATACCTGGTTAAAGCAACTTGTAGCTGTCGCTTGGTTTCTCCGAGTTCCCCGTTATTTCGATTTATTCGAGTCTGACAAATCATCAAAAGCAGACCCGTAAAAGTAATATCAAAGCGTCAAAACAAACAAACAAGGGAAGCCATATCTGCGATGGCGCGGCTTTCATATCCTTATTTTCCGTGAGAACGAATCTTGTTTCTTATTGTTTGCGACCTTTGGAAATATTCCGGTTGTGTGTTTATCCACATTAAATCTGTGGGGGTGAAGTGAACGTAACGGAACGCTATTGAAATATAAGCTAAAGGGAATTTAAATCAACCTGCGATTAACGTTTCACCTGGCTGAAACAATCGTTTAACGCGAATTTTTTTAAATTAACGCCAACTCGGACAGTAAAATATTTCAGTCAGCACTAATTATTGAAAAGTTAACCGTTTTCAAGTAGGTTTAGCGTCGCCATAAAGTCGTCGATAGACTAGTGCCTCTTGTCATCGGGAGTAATAAATTTGCAAACCCGTCCTTCGGAGAAGGCCACATGAAATTTGGCAATGTTTTTGGACAAGTTGACTTAGACCGTCGGGGCCATGTGTTGAGCATCTGGTATCAACGGTTTAGCCCATGGCGAAGGGAAAAATCGATATTTCTAATAACGCGCGAAATATATTTGAAAAGAGATAGGAGTTCCAAGATACTTAAATAAGTTAGAATGTTGTGAGGAAAATAAATAGATCAAATAGCCAGTTTTTAGGCGGATTTTCCAAGCTATAGGAATAGATTAAATGAGATATCGATTAATCAGTTCAGTGTTACTATACGAAGTCACAAGAGAAAGGTGTAGGGTTACACTTGTAAGTTTAGTTTAGTCTCAAAATTACTCGTTCAATTGTAAATTCAGTCAATTAGGTATTAACATGAGATAGTTAAGCCATTCCAACCCCCGATATTCAGGTACCCCGCCAATAAGATAAGAACTGAAACTTCTGTACCCAAGAAATGGGCGTGTCGAAACGAAGTGTCGATTTCAGGAGAGAATTTTTAGTATTTTGCCATATTACAATTACTAGATGTAAAAAAACGATATATTTGTGGCAATAGTCATGCATATTACGATTCCATACGGAATTTGAAACGGATAACATAAATCACTGTTCCCCAATGAACATCATTAATTTATTGCGACTATACATTCTGGCGGATGCGCCGGTTGTCATATAGCAACCACATGCGGCTTAAAACCTATCGCGGCTTTGGTATATTAAGCTTAACGTGAAGCGAACTAGACCGACTTGTCGACAATTTGATTAATGAAGCTTCCCACTTCGTATAAACGCGAATTAAAACTAAAATGCAGGATTTGAGAATTGCAAATCTAAAAAGTTCAACGTTGTTGGATGAAACACATGTCACTTATAATCTAATAAAAATATCGTGATTTGAGGTATGCTATTATGTTGAAAATGTGGTGGCAAGACATGTAAAAATTGGGCAAAATCACGTAGAATTGAATGAACTGCTTTGCCCCAGCTGAATCTTAAGGCTTCATTTTCAAAATGGCTTCCAAAGTTCGCAAAAAAACAGTTTTT